TCCTGGGAGGGGCAGCAACGGACTTGTCGGTGAAGAAGCTGCACTGGAAACGGAGCAGAAGCTGCTGGTGCAGCAGCTGCTGCTGGAAGTGCTCTTAGACGCATTTGAGGCATGGGGCTCTGCTGCTGCTGCGTGGGATTCGCAACAGCAGCAGCAGCAGCAGACGTCCTTGGAGAGAAACCTTTCTTCGCAAAACCCTGCAGCAGCAGCAGCAGCAGCACCAGCAGCTGCTGCAGCAGCAGAATCAACGACAGCCACGGCAACAACGATTCATCTGCTGCCGCACTTAGCCGCCCTCGCAGACCTGCTAGTTGCTGCTGCTTCTTGGGGCCCATTTTTGCATGCGCTGCCGCTGCGAAAGGGAGCTGTGGGGTTTGTTGCAGCAGTAACAGCACAAATGCTGGCTGGGGGCCCCCCTGGTGCAGCAGCAGTTCAAGAAGCAGCTTTGAAGGGAGGCTACACAGCAATTGTGCTCGCAGACCTTCTGCACGAGGCCACCATAGAGCAGCCTGCTGCTCCCCCTGCTGCTGCTGCTGCTGCTGCTGCTGCTAACTGCGTGGAGACTCGGCGGGGCGATCTTTTTGCTGCTGTGGCGCTCTGCAACGAAGGCTTAAACGCCCTTATTGCTTCTTCTTTTCCTCTATCTTTTGCTGATTTGCAGAACCTGCAGCTGCAGCAGGAAGAAGCAGAGAGGTGCGCGCTGCTGCTGCACGCGCTGCTGCAGTGCTTCCTCAGAGCTTTCACTGCAGCAGCAGAATGGGAAGAGACGCAGCTCGCGGCAGCTGCTGCTGCCTCCGGGGGGCCTTCGTCTCCTGGAGCCCTGCCGCAGCAGGAGCAGCAGCAGCAGCAGCAACGGCAACAGCAGCAGCAAGGCGCAGGGGCCCCTCCCGCGCACGGGGGCCCCTTCGGCGCATCAACTGCAGCAGCAGCAGCAGGAAGTGCGGACAGCATCCCGGAACTGTTTGCTGCTAGGGACCGCCGTCGCCTGCATGCGCTTTCTCTTTGTCTGCAGCACTTGCATGATTTGTTTCGAGAAGAAGTCAGTGGCATTTTAAAAGAATTCAAAAACTTTACTTGCTGCCTCATCAGCTGCTGCGCACAAAAACGCTGCCCCCGCCTCCGCATCTTCTTGCTGTCGCACTGCTTCTCGCTGCTGCTGGCAGACGCAGCAGCCTGCAGGCCCCAGGGGTCCCCGGGGGGCCCTCCGGGGCCCTTAGGGGCCCCCTGGGGCCCCTGGGGGCCCTCTCAGGGCTACCCCGGGGCTTGCATGCAGCAGCCCGTGGGCCGGGGGCCCCTAGGGCCCCCCCCACTGGAGTCTCTCAGGCGCCGTCGGCTGCTGGGGCCCTCACTAGTTGAGTGCCTCGCGGCGCCGCTGCTGTTTGCTGCAGGCAGGGAAGAAGCAGCAGCATCAGCAGCAGCAGCAGCAGCATCTGCTGCTGCTGACGACGAGGGGACGCGCTTCCTCTGCAGCGCCTGGTGTCTCCTTTGGGATCGTCTGCTCCCGCTAGCTTCTCCTCCGTGGGAACTTTTCCTCTTCGGGCTGGGACCCACAGCTGCTGCTGCTGCGGCTGCTGCTGCAGACAGAGTCTTGGGGCTGGGAGTTTGTCAGCTGCAGGTCTTTGCTGCTGCCTGCGCCCTTCTGGAGGCTCTTTTTGCAGTGACGCCGCTGGCCGTGCTGCGGGAAAGAGTAGTTCCTCTCATCCAGCAGCAGCAGCAGCAGCAACAGCAACGGCAGCAGCTTGGCAGCTTCTCCTTGCCCGCGGCCGCTGCAGCCCCACAAGCTGCTGCTGCTGCTGCTGCTGCTGCTGCTGCCCGCAGCACACGCACAACTGTGACACGGGAGGCCATCGCAAGCCTCTCTGCTGCTTTGCGGACTCTCTTAGCTGCGCCCTTTTCTCGAAGGCCCGTCGAGGGTTTCTGGGGCTTGCCAGTAGCTGGGAGCAACGCAGCAGCCACGGGGTCCCGCACTGCTGCTCCTGCTGCTGCTGCTGCGCCTGCTGCTGCTGCTGCGTCGTGGCTGGGGGAACTGTACGACTCGTGGCTGCGGCGCAGCCGCGTGGGCGCCTACAGCTGCCTCAGCGCAGCTGTCTGCAGCACCCAAACAAATCCTTCTTTATACTTTTCTCTTTTGTCTGGAGAAGCTGCCCAGCTGCTGCTGCTGCTGGACCCAGAGCTGCTGCACTACGCGCAGCAGATGCGCGAGCAGGCGGACGCCGCGCTGCCCTTGTGGGGCCCCCGGCGGGCTTCCGAGGGGGCCCCTCAGGAAGCCTCCGAGGGGGTCCCCCAGGGGGCCCCCGAGGGGGCCCGCCGGGGGCCCCTCCAGGGGCAGTTTCTGGGTGCATCGTCTCTGGTTGCCGCTGCTGCTGGGAGGGGCTGGCAGCAGCAGGAAGAGGGGCTGGAGGGTACTGGGGGGCCCCCGGGGGCCCCACTAGCCCTGGGCGAGTCCACTTTAAGTTTGGTGGAAGCAGCAAAATCATTCTCCAGCAGGTTCCTCAGTGCCTCCCAAGGCCTTTCTTTGGGGGCCCCGGGGGCCCTCCAGCAGGGGCTGCTGCTGCTGTCGCAGTCTGCGAGGCCGCCTGGGAGAGTGAGGGGCGCCAGCGCGCGGCAGCAGCAGCAGCAGCAGCAGCTGCTGCTGCTGCATGCAGCCACCCAGACTCTGGGGCCTCACAGCCTCGCGGCTAGCCACTGGCTGCGCAGCCTTTCTTTAGCCCCAGGGCTCTCCCCGGCCTTTGCCCAGGCAGAAGCAGACAGAGTCAGTGCAGCAGCAGCCGCACACAGCAGCAGCAGCAGCTGCTGGCAGCAGCCACAGACCAGCACGCCGCAGCAGCAAGTGGAGGCGGTCTTGTCTGGCCGCGCCCACGCACTCGCCCCCCAAAACGCAAATGTAAGAATGCAGCAGCACTAGCAGCAGCAGCAGAAACAGCAGCAGCAGCAGCAAGGCTTACGTAGCTGCAGCCCTAGATAGTCGTTGTGCCACTGACACGCGCAGAACTGCAGCAGCCGCTGCTGTAGCTGCAGCCATTACAACTGTATCATCGCTACCGCTGCAGCAGCCTTTAAGCAGCAGCAGCAGCGCAGCCCACAGACCTGGCATTGCGTCATACAAGTTAAACTTGTGAGGTTTATGAGAAACAGAAGCCCCAAGAGCTGCTGCCTTAAATCTGAGCTGCCCCCTTGTCCTGCTGCTGCTGCTGCTGCTGCAGGGGCCTCCTTATGATGACGCTGTGGGCAGGGCTGCTCTGCTGCAGCAGCTGCTGCGACTGGTAGACTGCTGCAGCGCCCGCTTCAGCGAATCCTGGGGCGCAGCTGCTGCTGCTGCAGCAGGAGAAAAGGCCCAGGGGCTGCCCCCGCTGATGGAGTCGCTGGTGCGCTGCTGCAGCCCAGGAGCAGCAGCAGCAGCAGCAGCAGGGACGGGCGCTGCCGGAGACACAGAAGCAGCAGCAGCAGGAGGGAAGACTGCAGGGGACCGGGCTTGGGCCTTTCGCCTCGTGCTGCTGCGCCTGCTGCTGCAGCGCGCGCAGCTGCTGCGGCCCCTTGCAGACAGGGGCTTGCTTGACTTTGTTGCGGAGACAGCAGCAGATGGCCGCATGCTCGGTGCCAAGAGACTGCACTACTGGATGCGGTAAGCTCTGGGGCCGCTGCTGCTGCTGCTGCTGCTGCTGCTGCTCAGCAGTAGCTGCTGCAACAGTTACAGCAGCGGGAGTGCTGCAGCCGCTTCCAGCTGCTGCACTCTGCTGCAGCGGCAGCGTTCGGCTGCCTTGCTGCGGCTGCAGCAACTCGAGCCGAGCCGCCGCAGCACGGGAAAAGGGCCGATGAAATGTGTCCCTTTTCCTGTGCTTTTGATTTTGCTGCTGTCTCCTTTTCTTGCTGCAGTGACACAGCGCTGCTGCTCATCCAGTGGCTGCAGCCGCACTCCCCACAGGCGCCTGGCTGGGGCCCCCCGGGCGCGGCTGCGCCCGCCCCGCAGCCACCCCAGCAGCAGCAGCAGCAGCAGCAGCAGCAGCCGCTGCAGCCGCTCACTGCTGCACGGCTCGCGAGCTTCGCAGAGGCCCTTATCAAGCTGTCGACCAGCATCGACCCGCCCACGCACAAGTCCGTCTCTTCCCCTAGGCCCAGCTCTGCCCCACGCTGCTGCTGCTGCTGCTGCTTCTTCTTCTGCTGCTGCTGTTGCTTTTGATGCTGCTGCTCAGCCAGAGCGTCAGCTGTGTCTGCTTTTTTGCAGGCTGAACCTGATGCTGGTGGGCTCTTTCCTAGAGTGGCTGCACCTGCGTTTGGGGGGCGTGGGGGGCCCCTCTTGGGGTTTGTCTTTGCCCGCAGCAGCAGCAGCCCGGGGCCCCTGGGGGGCCGGAGGGGGGGCCCCCCAGGGGCCCCAGGGGCCCTGGGGGCCCCCCTCCGCCCCCCAAGGAATCCCCTTTCTGCAGCTTTCTTTGCTGCCCTTTTTTGTCTACGAGAGCAGCAGCAGCGTCGAGGAGACAGCGAGATTTCGCTTAGGGGGTGCAGCTCTTCTTCAGCTTCTGGGGCCCCTCCAGCAGCAGCAGCAGCAGCAGCTGGCACTGCACCACCCGGGAGGAGGCCCCTACGACCAGCTGCTCTTGTGCGGCAGCCCTAGCTTTCTGCTGCTGCCCCTAAAATAAATCTTATAGCTCCCTAGCAGGGCCCTGCTGCTGCTTCTGCTGCTGCTGCTGCTGCTGCTCAAGCCAGGGAGACACACAGGCTTTTAGGCTGAGGCTGATCTAGCGGGGCAGTCGCTGCCTGGCCCGAGGCAGCCGCTGCGGCTGCTGCTACTGCTGCTGCAGCTGCTGCTTCTGCAGTCCTTAGTGCTGCTGTGACTTGCGTTTGCTGCTGCTTCTGTTGCAGGAGCAAGAGTCTGCTGCTGGCTGTGCCCCGCGCCCTGTTCTTCCCCGCTGCTGCTGTGGCGCTGCAGGCAGCAAATGCTTGCTGCTGCCTTTTGAATTCCTTTCCCGTGGCAGCAGCAAGCAGCTCTTTGCATGCGACGGGGCTGGCCTTTCTGAGGTCCAGCTACAGGCGGCTGCAGCAGCTTCAAGCAGCAGAAGCAGCAGCAGCAGCAGCAGGAAGGCCCCCCGCCCTCTGCGGCTGCGTCTCAGCCCGCCCGCAGCAGCAGGGGGTCCCCCCAGGGGCCCCCGGTGGGGCCCCTGGGGACTCCGGGGGGCCCCCAGGGTCTGAAGAAACTGCTGCTGACAGCAGCAAAAGAGAAAGGGCCCTGCAAATGCTTTATTCCTTTAATTATGATGGCCGCTACTGCCCTGTGGCTGCTGCTTTTGCTGCTGCACAGCCGCTGCTGTTTCTGGGGGCCCCCGCCTCGGCCGCGCGCGAGGCCTTCGTGGGTCTCCTGCAGCGGCTGCAGCAGCTGCAGCAGCAGCAGCAGCTGCAGCAGCAGTCCTCTGCGACTCCAGGCAGCAGCTCCTCGTCCCGGAGAAAAGAAAACCAGAAAATAATTAATTTGCTCTCAGCAGTGCGCGCCATTTGCTGCTGCAGT